TGTGGAAACTGTGCTCACGGACACATGTTTACGGGGTTCGCGCTCTGGTCGGGAGTTCTTTTGGATACCGTGGTGGTCTACAATGGGTAAGTACATTTGTGAAGTACCACGAGTGTGCGGAGATATTTATATTCTGAAAATACCCTGGATCTGTCAGTTCTGCATGTCTGATTTCCTGTTTTACTCATGTGATTTTGTCAGCTTGATGCCGGAGATCGCCACGGTGTGTGGCAAAAATATATTATTATTAATATTATTAATATATTGCAAATTATTTCCGCAGGCCCGCACCCCACCCACACCCCACCTGCACCCGCACAGAGGTCAGGTTGGCAGGGTGCTACTGATTTTAATGACTTTCTAAGTCTCGCAGGACACGCGTACTTGCAGTCATTGTACACCAGTGCCCCCCTGGGGGGGCGCGAGGCTCCGTCAAGGGGGGCGCGTTTGACCTCGGGGAACATGCTTTTTTATTTTTTTATTTTGATTTTTTTTACTGTCTTAAGGGCCGTTCACACCAAAGCGTCAAAAAACGCCTTGACGCCTCTATTTGGAGCCTTTGCATTTGAGTTTAGACGCCCCCGACGCGCATCTTTGACGCCGTGGAACCGAACGGGACAAAAATACTTGACGCGCATCCGTTGCCCTGGAAACAAGAGCCCGGTCCCGCTCTTTTCCCGAAACAATGTCAGACCAGACTGAGAGACTTTAGTGTTTTTATGACATAAAACATCAAAGGAGGAGATCGGGTCGACGACTGGGGCGTAAATATATTTCTACTCCGCTAATGACACTGGATCAGTCCCGGTCTAGTCCTGGTCTAATACCGGTCTGGTCCTGGTCTAGTCCCGGTCTAGTCCTGGTCTAGTCCTGGTCTAATCACGGTCTAGTCCCGGTCTGGTCCCGGTCTAGTCTCGGTCTAGTCTCGGTCTAGTCTCGGTCTAGTCCTGGTTTGGTCCTGGTCCGGTCCTGGTGTAGTCCTCGCGATCGGCTCGGTGATTGTGGCGTATATATTTATTCTCCGTTCATGTTTGTGGTTCTCGTTCTGGTTCTCGGTTCTTTCTTCCTGATAATAACGTCGCTGAGTCTCTGGATACTCGTCCCTGATTGGTTGACGCGGCGCGTCTGACGCGAAAAGTTCAGCATTTTCAACTTGACGCGCGTCTTGGCCGCTGACGCTAAAACGCTGAAGACGCGCTGCGCTGACGCCAGATTCGCGCCGCGCTGACGCCGAAAACGCGCCGCAAAAACGCAGTCATATAAGGTGGCAGTGTTACGCAGAGGTGTACTTATAACAATTTTATAGACAAATGATACTATCTATAGTCACGCGGGGGGGCGCGAGATGTTTTATTCGTCCTAGGGGGGGCATGACAGAAAATAATTGAGAAGCACTGTTGTACACTGAGCATAAGAACCCTGTCTGGTGCACTAATGTTACTCATATGAGGGAAAGAGTGCAAAAACTCCAAAGCTCCAAAACAAACAGTGAATCTGTGCTTATCTTCAATAAGGGCTGTGACGAGACAATGAACAGGGCTGGAAATACCTCATGCCACAAACTAAATGATGTGCAGTATATTTCACTTTTCACTAGACATGAGAACAGCAGAAGCACATCAGCCAATGAACGAGCACCTGCTTAATACTCGAGGTGGAGTTCTTGTGCAACAATAAATGATGTCATGAAGCCTCTGATAAAAAAGATCAGACACAGAAAAAAAGTATCACCTGACGTGACAGAGCCAGAACTGTGAGTACAGCCTTTGTTTTTCTTTATTCTATTACATGCATGTGTGTCTTTTAAACATGTTGAATTTGATCATATAGTATGTATGTAACTATTTCTTAGCAAATAATTCAGACATTTTGGAACATTTTGTTGTAAATGCATGGACTGCATTTTATTTTTAATATTCAAAAGTAAAATAAAGATGTCAGTGTAATCCTCAGTCGTCCAGGTTAGATCCACAGCAAAACTCTAAAACTTTTGTCCAGTTGACAGAATTTAATTTTCTTTTGCTAAACTTTAAGTAAACCTGTCAAGATGTGATGGACAAATCTACATCTCTCTATCTCAATGAAAATAACATACAAGCCTAAATTTTTTCTTGTTTCTATGAATATTTCACTGGACTGGAATGTTCCACAGTGTAACATTAAAAACTTTAGCTCAAAAATTATTAGAAAACAGGGATTCTGACTGTGAGCGGAGTCGCCTTTCCACAAATCTGACCTGTAACTTCATCTGGTTTTGTCTCCCTGAAGATTGCAAGGTTTAATGCCATACTGTGAAACATTCCAGACAAAGCTATAAGGCAAGGCATTTGACAGACCCTCCACCAGAAAAGTTACACAATGCAGCTTTGACGTCGAAAGATAAACGTATTTAGAACCTGATATGGCATCTGTGTTTTCCTGGTATGAGAATAAACCAGAAATTGTTGTTTGTCAAGTTTGTCAGTGCCAGAATCTGGACTGAAAAGGACAACATCAGCTGTCTAAAGTCATCAGTCAACCAGATATCCACAAAGGGCGTAACACTGCACAAACTCAGAAGAATCCATCTTGGCTGGCTCCCATTGTTTCGATTGGGCCTGCAAAAACTGCCACAATATAGTACAGGAGAGACAACATTTGTGTGCTCTTAGGGCTGTTGCGGTTAGGGAATTTCTTCTGTGGTGCAATATAGCAGCTCAACACCACGGTATGCCGTGATACACCCCCTCCCCCACCCCACATCCCCCGGAGTTATAATATTTCCATCGGCTCTGAAAACTCTCTCTGATGATGCTCTTGTTGCAGATGCACATGTACCTTGGTTGTCGTGTGGATATACTGTGTGTAGTGTGTGTAGGGTGTGTAGTGTGTGTAGTGTGTGTAGTGTGTGTAGGGTGGGAGAAGTAACATTTGGCTTTGCAAGTGCTGCTTCATCTCTTCAGCTCTCACTGTGGCAGCTTGGGTCAGAGTCCCGCACCAGGTCAGGTCAGAGTCCCGCACCAGGTCGGGTCAGAGTCCCGCACCAGGTCGGGTCAGAGTCCCACACCAGGTCGGGTCAGAGTCCCGCACCAGGTCGGGTACCCACGGACTTAAGAGAGAGAACCCCGAGCAAGGTGTCCGCAAAGTGCGATCGAGCGACAACTGCACTTCCCTCTGTGCAGCGCGGAGTTCTACGCTGGTCCTTTCACCTGTGGTCACCCAACGGTCTGCGTGGGCGCACCTTAGTCCTGGGATAATCCTGGGTTATCAAAGTCACGGGCAGTAACAGGTGGAATGTTAACGGGTCCGGGTGAGTGCAGGACTCTGGGTCGTGTCATGTGCAGTGATCGTGGTGGCCCAACATGCACCGCAGTGGGCCTCTTAGTACCGCAGTGATTCATTTTTGCAGTTATTGCAACAGCCCTAGTGCTGCTAAAGTGTCAGGTTTTTTATGTAAATTTATTGTGGGAGCCCTCACGTCCGGTCTGTGGACTGCTCAAAAGCTCCAGACCTGGTTGGCCTCTGGCTTCTGTGGCTCCTCTGCCCAGGATTAGTGAGTTGCTCAAACACCTGGCCAGTCGAGCTCCTCCGCCTGTTGCAGCTGCTCCCATAAAAGGCCACATCCATCCACTTGTTTCTGGCTGCTGGGATTTCGCTTGAACAGCATGCCACATAGATTTGTATGTCTTGTGTCATGAGTCACTCTGTGGATTATTTCTGTAACTGTGACTTTGTTGACACTCAGTCATACATGGCTTTTGTATGTTTGTTCAGTTAATCTTGTTTTAAAGTCCTTTTGGTTAGTTTCTGTACAGTTTGGAGCTCCTCTATTGTTTAACCACTTTTGATTCCCTTCGTTAATTTGACCCTTTTCAATCCTGTTATCACGTTATTTAACCATTGTACATCTTGGGTTTTGTTACCACTCTCACCAAATCAAGCTGGGTCATAATAGATAGCTTCTGCAATCTTTGTACCTATAGGTAATTTGTAATACTTTTAAAAGACCCATTTTGGAAAATAAAATAATGATATAGTTTCAAAGCAGCAGTAATAAAATTAAAAACTCTTTGTGGCTAATTGGCCCTGACAGCGACTCAGTGCTGTGCATCAAACTCACGTCTGTTCCACACCAGACTGTAAAAAGAAGTGAACTAAGAGAGTGTGACGTCACCCACAGTGTTCAGCTCCAGTCAAATGAAGCTCACTGAGGCTTGCATTTACAGCAAAGAATTTTGAGTCAGGTCTAAATTACAAACAGGATTTATTTTTATTTTTTTAATTTAATCAATATTTTACCAGGTAAGTCATTTGAGAACACTTTCTCATTTGCAACAACAACCTGGTATGAAATAAAAACACCAGTTAAAGTTAAAAATACAAACATTTTAAAATCAAAATGTCGAGGCTCACTGCCACATCTGAACTTCCTGTTTGGAATGCGACAGCGAGTACGTTAGGTCCATTTATATGTACAGTCTGTTCCACACATGACCACAGGGACCAGTCACCTGGATGAGGCACATCGCTGTCTCTGCATGTTTGTTTTTCTGTATGTATTACCGTGATCCGTCATACCGTAGAGTCTAAGGCAAAAAAAATGTCTCCCTGGTTTGCTGGTTTAAAGTTTTTAGGGTCCTCATCAGACACAATCTGAGTGAAATGTTCTGAAGTAGAGACAAACATTAAGTTGCAATAGAAGTAGAGTCCCATGTCTCTAGAAATGTTTTTTGGTCCAGTTGTGCAAACTCAAAAATATCTGGTATTTTACTTTGCACATTTCTCTTTTCCCAGGTGCCAATAACTGTGTGAACTCAAGAGGGAAATATGGCAACAGCACCTCCAGGCTGGTTGTTTTTAAGACTGAAGACCTAAGACTGATCTGAAGGTTGGCGGATCAAATCCCGCTCTCAACATAAACATCACAGGTTGAGTGGTCAGATCCACTGACCCACAGGTTGCTGGTGTGATTCCAGCTCCCACAGATGAATGCTGTCGTTGTGTCCTTGGGCAAGACACTTAACCCACCTTGCCCACAGTGTCTGCGTACACTGGTGTGTGAATGTGTGTGTGAATGGGTGAGTGGTTCCTTGTTGTAAAGCACTTTGAGTGCCTTGAAGGTGGAAAAGCGATATAGAAAAATATGACCATTTACCATTAAAGCCGCGCGCGGCGATGGTGGCCCTCGCCCCGGCGTGCACTCCCCTCCCACGCGACCACCCCGGCACGCCACTCTCTCTTCCCGACACCACCCAGGTCGACAGCTTGTCCATTAGACACATTACATAATGCACCTTTAAATATTTTTAGGAGTCATTGCGCCCCTGCTGGCCAACAGTGGAAAATGCACCATGTCCGTGGTACATTTGGTACAAATCCAGTAATGTTGACATGTCATGTGTATTCTAGGGGGCGCTATGGAGTTCACTTTTCATATGTTTTATAGTGTATTATATTCAGACTGAGATCAGGAATTAGTGATTCAAATTTCAGCACAATCGGACTAAGCCTGTGTGTGTAATCATTTTTAAAATATTTAGACTAGTCAATAGTCTTTGCGCCCCTGCTGGCCAGTGGTGGAAAATGCATCATGTCCGTAATAAACTTTTTTGCTTGTAATCATACATAGAGTTTATGCCCTGAATTTGGTACTAATCCGGTAATGTTGACGTTTCATGTCTATGCTAGGGGGCGCTATAGAGTTCACTTTTATTAAATTTCATATTTCATCACATTCAGGCCTGGATCACACAATTGTGATTTGAATTTGAGTTCTCTCGGACAATGCCTGTGGCCGTGACAGGTCACCGAAAAAACAGGAAATGAAGGCGTTTTTCGGCGGCGTGCTACGGGCGAACCGTAAGGAGTATCCCAAAAAAACTTGGCAACTTCTGTGAGTTTATGTCTGTAGATGTGACCTGTCAAATCTGAGCTCATTTGGACCAAACCCCGGGGACTTGAATCTTTTTGTAGACCCCCAAGTCAAAACGGCGCCGAATTTTTGATCCAATATGGCCGACTTCCTGTTCGTCATAGGGGTGCACAATGATTGGCTTTTTCGCTTGTCTCCTTGAGTTCTATGACTGTTCCGAATTTTGTGACCGTAGGACAAAATATGCCTCTCAGCCTCCCATTCATTTCAAAATTTTCAAATTTCAAGGGGGCGCTGTTGAGTGGGGGGGCTTTGGGCATAGTCATGATGCCCATTTTATGAAATTTTTCACCGGGCCGATCGATCTGATACCGGTTTGGGGACTTTTCGTCGATGTTTAGGCCCTCAAAATCGCGATCGTTTGCAAGGAAAAAAAAAAAAAAGAATTATAAGAAACCGACGAAAAACAACACCCCTCGCCCCTAACTTTGTTAGTGGTGAGTTGTTAGGGGCGAGGGCCAAATATACATTCATTTGTGGGTTATCTTCATAGAAACAAGCAAGTGACAGACAGAAAAGTTACATTTCCTCTAAAAGCTTTAGATCTAATTAGCAGAGCCTACTCTTGGCTGTATATTGATGCTTACAATGCCCAACTTTTATTTAAATGATTTATTGTCAAATGTCCTATATTACACCAAACAGACTCTTGTGAGCTTTAAGTCATGTTATAGTGTTGTTACCTCATCAAAAATATATCTGGTTTTGTGTCATTCAGTCATATCTGAGTAAACCATTATTATTAGTCTGTCTACATCTCCAAAGCTCAAAATGTTCTATTTGAGTGTTTTCTGTTTGAGAGACTAATAATAAAGTGTTACTCAAGCATGTGTGAATGAAACAAAACACAACTCCATGTCTGTTTTTGATGAGGAAACAACTTAACATAGATTACTACAAATAGTGTAATATGGGCCCTTTAACTTTAGATGTATTTGGGAAATAGTTTAGCCTGTGTCTTTTGTCTATAACATTTCATAGACGTTGCTTCAATACAAACAAGGCAACAATATTATCCTGTAAATCAATCAAAAGTTGTTGTCCCGCAACAAACAAGTTCTACAAACTCATAGCTTATCCTCTCTCTTTGTCGTTCTATGAAATGTTAATAGTCCTGAAGTTCTTTATATTGCAAACATCATTGCAGTGAGGGGACTGGCACAAAATAATTTTATAGTTATATTTTGAGAAGTTTTGTGGGAATTATCACATTTGAAAGGCCCACATGTTATAATGTTGTTTCCTCATCATAAACATACCTGGAGTTGCGTTTTGTTTCACTCACACGTTTAACCCTAACCCTGCATATTTTGGCTGTGTTCTTTTCTCAAACAAAAGAACACACCCAAACTTCATACACCTTCATTAGAATCAGTTGGATGATTTCAGACAAGGAATTGCTAATCTCTACAGAATAAAAGATAAAAGGTAGCTGTTGAAAATAGGGACGGGCATTCGATGAAATTTTCTTAATCGATCGTCGGAAGAATTAACGATCGATTATCGATTAATCATTAACGTTTTTATATTAAAATGATCATCATTATTATTACTATCTGCACTAATCTGCATAAATAAATTCAACTTTACAACATATAAACCGTAACGACTCTAGAGCCACATCAGCTGTTTGACATTATAATGTGTTTAATTAATTTTTGCGCAACTCTCACAGAAACGAAACTTAAAACCGCATCGCTAATTTGCATAAACTCAGCGAAGATAAAAATACAGCTCTTGTGTCGCTGATGCGGTCAATTTCTGTCGGATTAAAAGACACGATTCAGTGGAATACAGATTTGCATTTGTCAAAACCAGGACACTGTACGGGGGGAGGGAGGTGGGGACTCGTCATCGACATTGAGCGACTCTCACCTGGTAAAGCTTTTTCCCACTGGACACCGAAACACATGTGCTGCTTTATACACTGTGCACATGGACTCACACTTGTCCCGAACGCAACAGAAAGTGTGGAATTTCTTGTACAAATCATCGTTAAATACACATTTGTGCTTCGGCACGCTGCAGGCTGACCTACTGTTTGTGTTTGCTCCTTCTAAGTGCAGAGAGACACATGTATGGACCCCTGTTTGGTCACGCTACGCTACGCACAGCAACCTACATTTGGTTTGTCGATTAAAATTAACGTAATCGATGAAATTCTTAATGATCAATTATCGATTGATCGATTAATCATGCCCATCCCTAGTTGAAAACTAACACTACATGACATCACAAGGGGTAATATTTTGATCTGTAGGCATACTGATAAAGGATTGTTCAAACACATGTGAATGAAAACAAAACACAATTCCCAGGTATGTTTTCGATAAGGTAACAACATTGTAACATGGCTAAAAGCTCCCAAGAGTCCGTTTTGCATAACCTATTATATAACTATTTACTTTTTTCTTTTTTTTTCAGTGTCAAGATGTTGATAAAACTACGGCTAAGCACCTTTTTCCCCATTGCCGCACTATTACTCTTCATTTTGTTTTGTGTCCAGATGAATAACAGTAACTACTATGAGAACTTAAATAGCTACAGTGAAAATGTGATGGAAGAGGAGATTGTGTATAAGAGGGTTATAAGGAGTTGGCCAAAATGTGAACAAAACAAGTCTGCAGTTATCATACAAGGCTTTAGCAGTCTCCCAGAGCACATTCAAAACTTCCTTTACTATCGCCATTGTCGGCACTTCCCCATGCTCCTGGATATTCCTGGCAAATGTGGCGGACCTGAAAAATCCTCTGAAGTTTTTCTCTTGTTGGTGATCAAAAGCTCACCTGGGAATTACGAACGGAGAGAGGTGCTGCGCAAAACATGGGCCAAAGAGAGGCAGCACGACGGTTTATGGATACGAAGAGTGTTTATTTCTGGTACATCAGGGGGTGGTAAAGACAAAGTGAAACTAAACAAGCTTCTAAGAGCGGAGCAAAAGGAGAACAGTGATATCCTGCAGTGGAATTTCGAAGAGTCCCTTTTTAACCTGACTTTGAAACAGATTTTGTTTTTGGAATGGATGGAGAAAAATTGCCCCAAAGTCCGCTTCCTGCTTAATGGTGATGATGACGTCTTCGCCAACACAGACGGCATGGTTGAGTATCTCCGAGACATCCCTGGAAATAACGGGAGCAGTCATCTTTACACTGGGTTTGTTTTTGAAAATACTGGACCAGTTCGAAATAAAAAAAGCAAATACTACATTCCAGAGCAGATCCAAAAGTCTGCTAAATACGAACCTTACTGCGGAGGAGGAGGCTACTTACTTTCAGGTTACACAACTATGATCATTTACAACATGTCCAAGTCCATTGAAGTTCACCCTATTGACGATGTGTATATTGGTATGTGTGTTGTGAAGGCGGGGTATTTGCCTACACATCACATAGGGGTGAAAACACTAGGATTGGTGCTATCAAACAACCAGAAAATAGATGAACAAGATCCCTGCCACCTTAAAGGCCTGCTGCTGGTGCACAGATATTTACCTGCTCAAATGTTCCTCATGTGGCACAAAATAAATGACCCTCAACTCAGATGCGGCGTGCAGTTTTGGGAAGACTTTTAAAATAGAGAAATTAGAATTTAAAGGGCCTATATTACACTGTTTTTGTATCTATGTTGTAATGTTGTTCCCTCATCAAAAACATACCTGGAGTTGTGTTTTGTTTCATTCACTCAACACACAAATCCTGCATATTTAGGCTGAGTTCTTCTCTCAAACACTCTGATCCACTTTGTGATGTCATGTGGTAACACAGGAGCTGCTCCAGTGTGCATTTAAACATACACCCTCACTAGAATACTTTGGATAATGTCAGCCCTGGAATTTCTGATCTCTACTTAACAAAAGGTAAAAGGTAACTATTAACTTGAAAAGTACCACTTCATGACATAACAAGGTGGAACGGAGCAATAGAGACAAACTAATGCTAAAGGGTTACTCAAACATGTGTGAATGAAACAAAACACATCTCCAGGTATGTTTTCAAGGAGGTAACAGCATTATAATATGGCTTAAAACTCACAAGTGTACATTTTTCCATAATATAGGCCCATTAACAATTTAAAATTGAATATTATACTTGAAACAGGAAAACTCCTCAGAATGTTCCACATAACCGAAAGCTGAATCTCACAAACAGGAAGAATTTTTAATTCTTTGGACCGTGAAAGAAGAGAAGCACTTTGCTGTTTACAGTATAATCAGTGGATGCAATTGTCGTCCTACTATATGCCTTACTTTTATGTGTGGGTGTGTCACGAAAAAGTGATCCATGCTTTCGTGACATCACGCCTGGACTATTGTAATTCTTTATATGTAGGGTTAGACCAGGGCTCCCTGCAACGCATACAACACGTCCAGAACGCTGCAGCTCGTCTGCTGACAAATACTAAAAAATGTGAACACATCACACCTCTTCTGTGTGACCTGCACTGGCTCCCTGTCCTATACCGGGTGCAATTTCAAATGTTGTTAATTGTTTTCAAATGTCTGCACTCCTTGGGTCCAGTCTACTTGAGGGAGTTACTGCAGCCCTATACTCCCCCCAGACCCTGAGATCAGCCGACCAGCTCCTGTTGGTCGAGCCCAAAACTCGTCTCAAGACAAGAGGTGACAGAGCTTTTTCTGTGGCAGCGCCCAGACTATGGAATTGCCTTCCTCTTGCTGTCAGATCCTCTCAGTCTGTAACGCAGTTTAAGACAAGACTGAAAACTCACCTCTTCTCCCTGGCATTTAGTATGAGCTAGTCAGGTTATCTTGGTAGTTTTTAACATGTTTTCTGTATATTTGTATATGTAACTGTTTCTTCTATGCTGTTGCTGTTGACTTGTATGTGAAGCACTTTGGTCAACTGAAGTTGTTTTAAATGTGCTATATAAATAAATTTGAATTGAATTGAATTTGAATTGAATGTTGTCCACCAACTGTCCTCTACAGCACTTCCCCATTGTCACTCTAATGTGTTTCCAGTATGATCAGTTTACCTTTGATAATAATCAGAATAATCCCAGGGTTTCTTCAACGGTCTATATTATGTTTTTTTGTTGTTTGTTGTTTTGTATGTTATAATGCTGTTTCCTCATCAAAACAGTACCTGAAGTAGTCTTTTGTTTCATGAACATATTAAGCACAGAAACAGAAACCATTCTATTCCACCTTGTGATGCTATGTGGTAATACTGGAAGTGCCACACTGTGGTGTTAAACTCTATACACTTCACTAGACTCATTTGGATCATTTCAGCGATGGATGGAACAAAACATTTTGAGCTTTGGAGATGTAGATAGACTAATAATAAAGGGTTACTCAAGCATGTGTGAATGAAGTAAAACACAACTCCAAGTATGCTTTTGATGAGATAACATTATAACATGGCTTAAAGCTCATAAGAGTCAATTTTGAATAATATAGGACCTTTAAATCTAACAATAGATCCTATGAATATTTTGAAGTTAGATAGATCTGTTACATGCTTGTATATTGCAGTTGTTAGTTGCTGTTGTAGACACTGGAGAATGTTGAAGTAAAGGCATAGGTCCAATAAGCAAATTCTGATACAAGACCAAGTGAGCTTCTACAGGATTCATTTTACATTACTTTTTAAGTAACTTTTTTTCCTCTTAACCATATTGTTTTTAGTTTGTGCACGGCTGTTCTGTGTACTGTGAATACAGACTATTTGTTGTGCTTATAATAGTAATGTACTTTGAATATTTTGTATTGATACTATTTATTAACATGTTTACATTCTTGACAATAAAATTAAATAAAAATAATATAAAAGACAATATTGCAGAAGTCTTTTGCAGAATGGTATGAACAAGACAAAAGGAAACCAAGTTCAAGCCACTGTTTACTCTGGTTAAGGACATCATGCAAATATATCTTTGCAATGTGTGGAGCAGAAAATGCATTTACAAAGCCAGAAGCAGAGTGCCAAAGGAGGAGATACAGACCACAGATGTTAAGACACGAAAGCTCCTGACCATGCATGGAGGGTTCCATCCCAAATCCAGCACCCTGAGACTGTACACAAGCTGGAAGGAAGGGGGCCGAGGACAAGTGAGTGTTGGAACCACTGTCCAGGATGAAACATCCAAGCTCCTTGAGTACATCAAGGACAAGGCCCCGGCAGATGAGGTGCTCAGAGAATGTCTCAGACAGTGGGGTCCAGAGGAAGAGGTGCTGGAGGGACCATCATGGCAGGACAAACCCCTACATGGGGCGAACCACCGGAACATAACTGAAGTGGCTGATATCAAGAAATCCTACCAATGGCTTGAGAGGGCTGGTCTGAAGGACACACAGAGGCACTGATCCTGGCTGCTCAGGAGCACTCGAGCAATAGAGGCCCAGATCTACCACACCAGACAAGACCCACGGTGTAGACTGTGCAAAGAGGCTCCTGAGACAGACCAGCACATAACTGCAGGGTGTAAGATGCTGCAGGGAAACAAACATGGAGCGACATAACCAAGTGAAGCCATAGTGTACAGAAACATCTGTGCAGAGTACGGGCTGGAGACCCCAGGATCAAGGTGGGAAACACCTCCAAAGGTTGTGGAGAATGACCGAGCCAAGATCCTGTGGGACTTCCAGATACAGACTGACAGAATGGTGATGGCGAACCAACCAGACATAGTGGTGGTGGATAAGAAACAGAGCAGAGGTGTGGTGGTGGACATCGCAATACCAAGCGAAAGAAACTAGAGAAATACCAGGGGCTCAAGGAGGAGCTGGAGAGAGCCTGTAAAGTAAAGGCATCAGTGGTGCCTGTGGTCATCGGAGACTCGGGGCTGTAACCCCCAAACTGGAAGAGTGGCTACAACAGATACCGGGAAAAACAACGGACATCTCAGTCCAGAAAAGTGCAGTACTGGGAACAGCAAAGATACTGCGCAGAACACTCTGGAGTTCATGACACATGTTCTGGAGGGTCTGCTCGTTCCTGGGACACTGGAGCAGTCCGTTCTGGGTCTCATGGTACAGAACCTGGATCTCCTGGACGATCATGGGGAACTCCTTCTACTGGCTCTGGTTCAGCACCGGTTTACGGGTGTGGTGCATCTGAACTAGAATGACGGGTTTAACTTGGGCGTTTTCTGTTAACACATCACAGTGATTATAGTTATTAGTTAAAGTTATTTTTAGGCAATGCACTACACAAGCATGAGGAAACTGGTGTAAACAACACAACAACCAGGTGTGTCGTGGACGTGATACACGGGGGTTCGACGTCCGCCCACTTCTCCCAACATGAGATATAAAAAAACAAAAAACAAATATAAAATAGCTACAAGTTAAATGTCAAACCAGAGCTACTGGTGATGGTGAAAACAAACTGCATAGGCTCATGATATCTGCAGTACTTTCCTATAGCAACCTGAGACATGAGGGACCAGGACTGAACCAAGACTAAACTAGGACTAAACCAGGTCTAAACCAGGATTAAACCAGAACTGAACCAGGACTGAGAGTCAGGACGGGCCTGGAGGTGCGCCCGCGTAGACCGTTGGATGACCGTAGGAGAAAAGACCGACACAGAGCAGTCGCCCAATCGCGCTTTCGAACACCCTGCTCTGCAGGCTCGGGGTTCTCTCTCACGCCCTTAAGTCCAAGATTAGTCCTGGTTTAGACCTGGTTTAGTCCTGTTTTTAGACCTGGTTTAGACCTGGTTTAGTCCTGGTTTAGACCTGGTTTAGTCCTGGTTTAGACCTGGTTTAGTCCTGATTCATGTGTTGTAGTTTATGCTTTATGTTCTGTAGGTGATTATGAATTAATGTTAATAACTTGATTCTACATCATTTTGAATGAAAAAAAACATGAAATATTACAGATTTTTACTGGAATGGTGCCTTTATGTTTGTACTGAAAGTTTTTTTTTTTTTTTTTTTTTAATAAACAAACAGTCTATATGACACCTGTGTGTATTTCGGCACGTCAAGTTGAGTGGACGGCTTGTGGAGGTGAACGCTCTGGACGTCCCACATCCCAACAGCCCCCACAGTGGGGAGTTTAAAGTTTTTTCTTAAGACTCAATTTTATTCTCTGGCTGCGTGAGTTGTGTGGTCCTCTGTGTCTTTTAATTATTGTATTCATTATACTGCTTTTTATGGTTTTGCTTTTATTTTGAGTTCACACTGTTTTTTTTATAGTTTTAGAACTGACATGATCAAATTTTAGCAATTTACCTTTTTGTTTTCTTCATTTTATGCTCTTTGTGCAGAACTTTGGGAACTGCTTAGTTTGTAAAATGTGCTATAGAAATGATTTGGATTTGGATTTGAACAGCAGAACCTTTACATCCAACTGGGGGAAAAGCACAGACACAGGTATCTTACTTGTCCACAAATGCACAAAGTGTTTCCCTGAGCGTGTTTTTTTTAACCAGAGCGAGCAAGAGTGCATGGCCTTAAAACAGGGGTGGGCAAACGTTTTGGCTCGGGGGCCACAAAGGGTTCTAAAATTTGACTGAAGGGCTGGACCAGGAGCAGATGGATGGAATGGAAAAAAAAAATAACATGGGATATGTAGAAAACCTGTGCTTGAATTTCAATTTAAAGTCACTACAAAGCATCACAACAAAATATCTGGCTTTCTAAAACACTGAAAGTTAAATTAATAAAATAAACGGCAGAAGATGCAGATCTACTTCTAGTCAATGTGCGTCCCCAGAGCCAAAACTCAACAACGACCAACACAAGGACAGAACAGTGCCAGCGTGCCAGTTTACGAACATGTTATATTTGATCTGGTGTTTGTTTATAATGAGTGTGTGTACATGGCCATCAGTATCCCGCGTACAATTGGGTTTTTTGAGTCATGGTGCATGTATACACACTAACTCGTTTACAAGAATGTAAAGTTGAGTGCGAATGTGTCTAAAAGACAAATACTTCCGAAACACTTTCTGGGGCAGAATCTAGTTGTAGCTGCCACCATACTTTCTTTAGCCTACCTACCTAAACTGAAATTTTCACTGGCGACCAAAATGTGCAATTGCAACACAGCTCTGTACGAGCCTAGGCCCAACCAAATGTTAACAAGCCAACTAAACCTCTACCCATAAACAGGCTCCATGACGTGTTAAGGGCCTAGCTCCATTGCACTTGTATTTATGCTCATGTCGGGCGTATTTTGCCCAATGCAATGCAACTTTCGGACACATAAGTTTTAGAATGCGTTAAAAGTGTATGAGAGCGGCTCCACTGCACCCCATGAGCGCACATCTGTCCTGTAGACCTCAATAAGAAACACACACACCCTGCCTCACAGTTACACACTTATACACTGATGTGCACAGTTGAGCCAGGCACTCAAGACATTTCATGTGTTAAGATTTGTAACTCAATGTTTGTGAGTCCTTCAACTTTAAATTTAACTGAAAATGGAAACAGTGCAGCCTTTTATCTTGAACACTTCTGCCTCACTCATGATCCAAACACACCGCCCAAAAAATGACTCAGTAGCTAGGCCGAAAGAGTACTTTCCCATAAAGCATTGCGGCCAACATAATACACCGCACCTCAAGGTATATATAGTGCGCCATCTACTGGGAAACGCCGGAAATGCAGGAAAAATAAAACATTAACAAGCTTTATTATTAGAATTTATTCAAGTTCTTTTGCCCACCGCTGGCTTAAAAACACAGATGAGTATTTCGCAACACTGATGAAGCTTTTTCAGGTTTTGAATACTTGTTCTTTTTTCTTTTTAATGACATTGATTGATTGAAAAAGTCATATATAAATAAAACTAAACAAATATGGAATCTTTCTGAGAGCCGCCTCCACGTCCGACTGGACCCGCAACAGGATTGAACAGAAAAGTAAGACGACGTCGCACTGCTGTAGGTCCTCTGTAGGCGTGACCCTTGACCCCAGCCGGTCCAGGATCTGCTGGTGAGCCTGGTATGTTTGTCCAGTGATGAGGATGAAGACCTTCACCGGCTTCATCGCTGGAGCAGAAGGTTGTGCTTGAGCTGTGATGTCAATGTCTTCAATTTAAAAAAAAAAAAAAAAAAAAAAAAGAAAATTAAAGTGAAAATGACTGTACCTGCACCATTTTTCCATCTATGAGCTAAATTAATCCAGTACAGAGACCGCTGTGTTGTGTCTGCATCTAATTCTAAAGCTTTTTAATCAGGAAGTGCACTGCTAGCATCTTAATTATAGTGTTTTGGTTTTTTTTATTATATACCAACTTTATTATATACCAACTCTAGACACTTTTTTTTTTTTTTTATGTATTTTGATCTATTTGACAACTTATCCCAGTTGACAGATATATTTTTATTTGTAACAACATAAAAAAAAAAAAATAAATACATAAATAAATTTAATTTAATTTAATTTAAAAATAAAATAAAGTTCAGCATCTGAAAATAATTTAAGAGGGACTGTCTGGTCAGGCAAACATTTTTTAAATACTTAAAGGTTGTATGGAGGATTTTTTTTTGTTTCAAATTGTCAATGATAGCATTATAGAGATGCAGTAGCCTTGTAATTATGATGACCAAAAAAAAGAGAATAAAAATTAACCTGTTACCACCCGCCTCATTTTGGTGTGTGCACAATGGTAAGACATACCCAAATGCCATAGCTTATTAAAAGAAAACCTTAGAACCCACATGCTTGTGTGAGGCACCATTTTAAAGCTTAGGCCTTCTAGTTTCTGTAGATATGTACATAAAGACTGTGAGTGCTGCCTAACCTACAGTACACTCAATTAAAATTGAAAAAAAAATGTATTTTTTTGCTTCGAAAAAAAAAATATAAAAAAATAAAGGCCTTAGCTTGGGCATACTTCATGCTAGGCATTTGTGACTCACTACACTCATTGTTCAAGGTGTTGGCAACAACTGTGTAGAATTTCAGATCTTTAGGACAAAGGGTTTTGATGCTGTGAGCCTTTGTGTAAACAAAATGACAATTCGGCACAAGATTGCAAAATTTGTGCCAAAATAATAATAATAATATAATAATAATAATAATTGTTATTATTATAATACTACTTCTTCTGAGCTTTAGGCATGTTCTCTCAAGAAAAAAAAACTAAAAGTAGCCAAAATTGTCTTCCAAGTGGCTGTTCTGCTACTACTACTACTACTGCTCTCTGTGTCTCTCTCTGTGTCCCTCTCGGCTGCGCGTATAAACACAGGGTCCGTTTCCAATACAATCTGAATGTCCCACCCACCGTTTGAAAGCTCTGGTGATAGGCTAAAACAATATGTCAATCACTTTCTGGAAGATCCAATGACTGAAGAGATTTCCCGTAAACAAACTGATGACGCGTGCGTAAAGCCAGGAAGTACGTGAGTGCGTTAGCTTCTTCAGCGGCTTGTCCCACCTAAACCCCGGCACCGACAACAGCGGGGAGGGTCTCATTTTGAAGCTAAGAGTGTGAGGAAAACAAGCGTACCCAAGAGCGGGAGAGAAACGGAAGTGAGAGCGGGAGAAGAGGCGGAGAAGAGACATAATATTTTCATTCACGGATTCATCCACTCATACGGACGACGATTTTCTGGATTATTCCCCCACATGGAATTATTTTTTGGAAAAACAACTTGATATTCTTTTTCTGTGGATTATTACGGACTTATTGAGTACAACTTTTCATGGATTGAACGCGTTTTGGACCGACAGAACCGGCTCAAAGGTAAGAAACGCGTATCTTATTCTTTGTTTATGATGTGAATTTTTAAATTCACATAAATGAATGATATGGTTGTTTTATTGATAAATTAAGCTTTCAAACGATGTATGGCATGCCAGTAGTGAAAACAATAATGAAAGTGAATATACAGAGTGAACATTTTTTATTGGAAAATCGCCCGCCGGCGGGTGGATGGTAAGTGGTTAATCAACTCTGGACGTGGTGGGGCTAAACATTTGCCAATAGATAACGTAAGGAGGAGGAGGGAGGAGGTGTTTCTACGTAGGAGCTGTAGGGGAGGGGGGGTGGTTTCACGCATGCGCAACATTTGAAAAAGGACAAACAGTCGCTGGATTTCTCGTTCCTTGGAAAATCCTCTATACAACCTTTAACCCCCGACTTTGGTCCAAGTTTGATAATGTTGACATTTCATGTCTAAGGTAGGGGGCGCTATACTGTTCACTTTTCATATGTTTTATAGTTTATTATATTCAGACCAATATCCCGCATTAGTGATTCAAATTTCAGCACAATTGAACTAAGCATGTCCCTGTAATAATTTTAACAATATTTTTGGGGGGATTCTTTGCGCCCCTACTGGCAAACCGTGAAAAATGCATCATGTCCGTAATAGACTTTTTTGCTTGTCATCATGCATAAAATTTAATTTCCGAATTTGGTCCAAATCCGATAATGTTGACGTTTCATGTCTATGCTAGGGGGCGCTATAGAGTTCACAGTTCATATGTTTTATAGTGTATTATAATCAGGTCGAAATCCGGCATTAGTGATTCAAATTTCAGCATGATGGGACTAAGCCTGTGGGTGTAATAATTTTTTTACTATTTTTGGGGGGAGTCTTTGCGCCCCTGCTGGCCAATGGTGGAAAATGCATCATGTCCGTAATGAACTTTTTTGCTTGTAATCAAGCATAGAATTTATGCCCCGAATTTGGTACTAATCCAATAATGTTGATGTTTCACGTCTATGCTAGGGGGCGCTATAGAGTTCACTTTTATTAGATTTCATATTTCATTACATTCACACCAGCATCACAGAATTGTGATTTGAATTTGAGTTCTCTCGGACAATGCCTGTGGCCGTGACAGGTCACCGAAAAAACAGGAAATGAAGGCGTTATTCGCCGGCGTGCTACGGGCGAACCGTAAGGAGTATCCCAAAAAAATTTGGCATCTTCTGTGAGTTCATGTCTGTAGATATGACATGTCAAATCTGAGCTCATTTGGACCAAACCCCGGGGACTTGAATCTTTTTGTAGACCCCCAAGTCAAAACGACGGCAAATGTTTGATCCAATATGGCCGACTTCCTGTTCGTCATAGGGTCATGCTCCAATTCATCTTTTGTCTTGTCTCATTGTTCTCTATCACTGTTCCGAATTTCATTTACCTGCGACAAACTTTGCCTGTCCCCACTCCCATAGGGGTCCAATTCTAGGCGGCGCTGTTGAGTCGGGTCACTCGGGTCATTGTTGCGATGCCCATTTTATCGAATTTTTCGCCGGGCTGGACCCCGGTTTGGGGACTTTTCGTCCATGTTCAGGGGGTCAAAAATGCGATCGTTTGGTCGGAAAAGGGAATAAAAAAAAAAAAAAATTAAAAAAAAGAAACCGACGAAGAACAATACCCCTCGCCGAGGGCCAATAATGAAGAAGAAGAAGAAACCGGCGAAGAACAATAGCCCGAGCCAGTTACTTCGTTACTGGCTCGGGCCAATTAAAGACTTATTATACCAGTATTATGAGGTATTAGAGTTATTATGCAAAATCAGCTTTTTGGAACTTTCATTCCCTAATCAAAACCATGCCTGAAGAGTATTAGTTGTCATCTATCAATGATTCAATCATTTAGCGATCTCTCCCGGCCCTATGTGAACCCTCCTTATGGTTAGCTGTAAGATTCTGTGCATTGTTCTTCTCTCACATGACAATTCTCCATAAATATATAAAAACGTGATGCAAAACTGTACACAACAACTTGGTAAACCTGATGTGATGTGAGGTAGTGTCGTTAGCAGGATGCTCGTTGATTGTGTTGTGATGATGCTCTGAAGGGGGAGTAACTTACTAATTAGTTATTTTCGGCCCATGTAGCATAGAGATTTGAGTTTTGATTGTCATTGTCATAGAAAATTATGAAATAACTTTTAATTAAGTTTCGTGTGCAGCATCAGTTATTAGTTAAATATTAATTATTAGGTGCAAGACCTCAGTAAAAGTTAAGATGGTGTTCTAAATGTTCTAAACGTGTTAGCAGAAGTAAAATACCTCCTCTTTAAACCACAATATAACTTCTTCATTTATATTTGTATTTTTGTTTGTAAATGGACAATACACCATGATAACTGGTGAATGTAAACACTTCACTGTTTGTGAGATTACAGCCTTCATGGTCACGTCCGTCTCCAGCCCCACAGGTCAATATCAAACACCTACAGGAGAAATACTTCCATTTTAAAAACTAAAAGAAAATAATTCACGTAGAAAGACAATTAAATAAACATCCTTTAGTTTTAAAGTGAGTGTATGTCATTTCCGAGTCACGAATACTCCTTTGACTTTCCAGAATCCATTTCAGAGATCCGTATGAGTTTAGTGTAGCCAATTCTTTAATATGTGGTTGTTACCACCTTTGGTGTTTTGGGTTTGTCTTCAGCCACAACTGTTTTCTGAATGTCTCTACTCTCTCCACATTTCACACTTCAGTTGTCCTGTCAAATAAAGTGAATACTGTAATTATAAAATATCAAACTAAAACAACTGAAAACATCCCTCATATAGAATATTTTGTGTAATCAGGAATTAAATCTTAATAATGAATGATTTTAGATAATATTAATAAACAAATGCAACAGTGTTCTGCAAAAAAAAATTGATAGAGGAAAATACACCAAGGAACACAGTAAATAAATACCTAATACTAGCAATATTAAAAGTGCAGTGTAGTAAAATGTGTTATGGAGGCTGGGATAAAAGTTCTCCTCAGTGACTCAGTCCAGTGCAGGGAGAGGAGCCAGACACGGTCAAGAAGATTTTTAATATTTATTTATCCTCTTTTTTTTTAAATATTTATTTATCTTCTTTTCCAGAGCAACTCAGGATCATGGTGTTTGGGAAAAAAGAAGACAAAAAACAATGGTGTGACAAACTGTTTAATCAAAAGACAGAAATAAAAGCACTGTTTTCTAAAAGTCATCACATGACTGGAAACTGGAATGGAAAACAGTTCATAGTTGTAAAGGCTCCAGATGTTTACAGTCTGTCTGAAGATAAAATAAAAGAAGAGATAAAAAGCCGTATAACCCTGTGTCCTCCAGGACCACATGTTCTGCTGCTGATAGTGAATCCTTCAGAATTTAATGAGAAGAATGAATGCACCCTGAAGTTCATCTTACAAATGTTTGACCCAGACGCCCAAAAACACTCAGTGGTTGTCCTCACACATGATGGGAAAAGAAATAAATATGTGGATAGTCTTCTTGATGTTTGTGAAGGACGATACATCAACATGCTCAATACAAAATATGAAGACTTCATGAAGACAGTTGAGCAGTTAGTGTATAAACACAGAGGCGCTTTCCTCAGATTAAAGGAACCAATGTCCATGAACCTGGTCCTCTGTGGGAAAGAAGAGGGAATTAAAACTTCCATCATGAAGGCCATTTTAGGCCAAAAGATGCATAATGTGCCCCTCAGCCCTGAGCAGTGTGTTAAATATGAGGGAGAGGTGTGTGGAAACAGACTGTCTGTGGTGGAGCTGCTGGCTCTGTCTGGAAGATCTGTGGAGGTGATGCTGCAGCAGGGCCTCCGCTGTGTCTCCCTGTGTGCTCCTGAGGGAGTCCACGCCTTCATCCTGGTTCTGTCTGAGAATTCCACACCTGATGAAGACAAGGCGGAGCTACAGAACATCCTGTCAGAGGTCGAAAAAGAAAGACAACAGAGACAGAAAGAACTCAATGAAAAAGAAGAGAGGATTAAAGAAGAACGAGAACAACGAGAAAGAGAAAAAAAAGAGAGAGAAGAACAAGACAGACAGAAGAAAGCACAAGAGGCTTCACTGTACCAGGAATGGGAACAAAAACAAAAAGCCCTGGAAGATAAAATAAGATCAGAGGAGCAATCCAAAGAAACGATAGACAAAAAACTACAGGAAAGCAGAAAACAGATGGAAGAACAACAGAAGAAGTGGGAACAAGAAAGGAGAATTTGGTGGGAAAATCGTAGAAAGGAAGAGGAGCAGAAACTGCAAGAAGAAGAACAAAAACTGAAACAACTTCAAGAGGAATATGAAGAAAAACGTGAAAAAGACCGAATTAAACAAATTGAAGAAGATCAGAAGAGGAAACTACAAGAAGAAATGGAGAGAAAGAAATTAGAAGAAAAACACCAACAGCAAATTGAGGAAATGAAAGGAAAATATGAAGCAGAGGTCAGAAAAAAAGCTGAAGAATTCAATGATTTTAAAGAGAAACGTCAGAAGGAATTCCAGGCTTTGAAGCAGAAACATGTGGAAGAGCTTAACGTCTTAAAGGCGATGTCTGCTGAAAGGGAGAGAGCAAAAATGAAAGAACATTTAAATGATATTAAGCAGTTGTTACGCTGTGTTTCCAAAAACAGAAAAAATATAAAGATAATCATGGAATTACTAACTAAACAGGAAACAGAAATGAATCAAGCTACAAATGCAGAAGAAGACCAACTGCAGCGAAAACATGAGAAAGAATTACAAGACAAACTAGAGGCTCTGCTAAATGAGTCCATCTGTTTTATTTTATAGTTATGGTGAATCTGTTGCATAAAAAGACCCTGTAAAACTGTCTTGAGTGTAAGAAAAAGATTTTATCTTCAATTTTCCTTTTGTGTTTTATAATCATCGATGTCACTGTGCTGTACAATTAATCTTTAATAGAACTCACCATGAAAACAGAATCAAAAAATGTTCAACAGTTTAATGAAGAAATTGTGTGAAAACCTTTAAAGATCATGTCACGGATTTATAACAATTATGCTATGTGACTAATGATTATAATTATACAAAATATATAATTGTACATAATATGATATTTTACTGTAATCACTGCATGACATTGTATTGATTCTGTTCCTTGTATTACATCATCATAAACTGATTCTTTGGTTGAGATGGAAATATTTTGTTTTAAATTCTTAATAGTGATCATGTTCTGTATGTGGAGAACATTTATTATGTGCACTTAATTTGCTTAAATAAATAAAATCTAAACTAAATATCTTTCTAGTTGGATTTTTTATGTATTTTATTGTATATTATTTAACATTTCAGACATTTTTGTATTGACTCAGTATCACAATTGTTCTCCTGAGGATTCCTCATGTTTTGTTTCTGTCAGTTTTTGCTCTGCACTTGATTCTAATCATTTTAGTATTTACTGTTTCTTTGCAGTGGTTCAGATTTGAAAATGGATCCTTCTCAGCACCGCCCACATTCTTGACTGTTTGTCTTAGATTTAAAATGGCCTGGACTGGATTACACAGCAGGTATTAAAGCCCTGGCCAGTTTAAAAGGCACATTATATTATAACCCACCAGACCACATTATGTCCCAAACAGGAAAACTCTTCGTGTTGACAATGATTATTGATTAGCCTACTATACTTATTTTTTTGTCAAAGTGGTGTTGAAATCAGTAGCTTTGAGTTCATCAAGCTTTTCCCTTATGACCAAAATCAAGTTTGGTGTTTTAGTGTTCTGACACACCTGTGTCACACAGACACACCCAAAGATCATTCTCCAGATAATACACAAAGCAAGTGGACCATGACCTGACACTGGTCAAACCAAACCAGTACATCAGGATTTCAAAGTTCCAGGAGATCACAAATGTAAGAGAAATTAAATCTTCCACATGCATCTCAGTTTAACATTGACACAAAAGCTGTATTTACACCATGATCTTCCATTGGCACCATTATCTAAACTGTGGTATATTTCAGTCTAACTGGTGTCTACTGTCCTTCATAGTCTCACCATTTGCTTTATAAACCTCCTCCTTTGGAAGCAGAGTCAAGGGGCTTGAACACTCAAAGATCACTCTATGTTCACTTTGGAAATCACACTATGTTCACTTTTCGAGCCCCAGTCCATTGAAAGGAACGTGTGTAGATGTGGAGACGGAGCCAAGAGTGGTGAGTGGAGATGTGCTTCACTTCAGTGACATGGAGTTCATTAACAATTTTCTCCTCGCGCAGAATAGTGACGTTTGTGTCTTGTTGATAACGTGTAGGTGGATGAATGCACTTTAGCCGTTCAGACTGAAGTCACATGTCAAAAGATCAGATATGTATCGGTTTCAGGAGCACATATCCAAGTGTCCTGGGTCATATTTGAAAAAATCAGATCTATGTCGTTCAGACTGACATTAAAAGATCAGATACAGGAACATAGGGGCCAAAAAATTGGATTTGGATCACTTCAGGCTGCAGTCTGAACGCAGCCTAAGTCCCTCCAGTGTGTCCTGAGTCTCCTCCTGGTTGGACATGCCCGGAACACCTCCTGAGGCGTCCAGGAGGCATCAGAACAGATGTCCTCCCCTCAGCTGCTCCTCTCCACGTGGAGGAGCAGTGGCTCTACTCCAAGCTCTTCCCATGTGACTGAGCTCCTCACTCTGTGGAGGAAACTCATTTGTATCGTCGATCTCGTCCTTTCAGTCATTACCCAGAGCTCATGACCAGAGGTGAGGGGAGGAACGGAGACTGATGCTAAATTGAGACTCAGCTCCTCTTCACCACAACGGTCCGATACACCGACCGCATCACTGCCGACGCTGCACCTGTCCACCTGTCAATCTCACGCTCCATCCTCCCCTCACTCCAGAACAAGACCCCGACAGACTTGAACTCCTCCACTTGAGGCAGAGACTCTCCACCCGCCCGGAGACGACAAGACACTTTTAATTTGATTTGTAATTTAATAATTTATTTGATCTTAACTAACCACCCTGAAGAAAATGAACTGTATCTTTAAACACTCTCAACAGGCTCAAACTCCTGCTAAATGTTCCTTATCAAGATCCTGGATGAAGATCTGCTCCTGAATGATCCAACCACAGAGACATAAGGAGGCCTCAGACACAAACCTGTGATGTGACGTGATCCCTGCAGTTACCAAAACACAATAAAACAAACAGTGTGATCAGGAAAGTGCATTACATTAGCTGTCCACATGGGGGCAGAGTTGACAATGAAATACCACAAGGTAAGGTTCAAATCAAACATAACTTTTACTTTAACAACTGTAATGCTGATTTATTTTTCATTACAAAAACACTGGATGTGATGCTGCTGCAGCATTACAATGTCCCATTTCACACAGGCCATTTTTGAAAGACTGTTTTGTTTTTTTGCACATTTAGTACTTCGAGGAACTGTATGAATCCTGCTGAAATCCAGTGGGTTTAATCCTAAAAATAATCTGAATCGTCACTATCACTTGTAATTGTAGTTAAAAAAAAGAAAAGAAAAAGCAACTACAACTACAAATAAACAGGAAAGTGGAGTTCTCAGAAACAGATAATTTATTCCTTTGACTCTTCCTCTGAAGGCTGCATATAATATGATATTTTCTACTCCAATATATTTCAAAAAATGCTCAGTACTTTTGTGGAGGAGTTAAACTTTTTTTTTTTTTTTTTTTAAATCAAAAATGGCCTGGATGAAATAGGATGTTGTAAAGCTGCTCTGTGGTGGATCATTTGGTTGGAGAGGAGGGAGTTTTTCATTTACAGTAGGAGTGTCAAACTCATTTTGTTCCGGGGGACGTGTCCAAACGACTTTGATCCAAAGTGTCCGGATCAGAAAACTCATGTCATATAAACCCCAAAAATATCAATAAGTTCAAATATTTGTGCAGAGAAACACAAATCTATTACATAAATCATTTTTAATTGATGAGCTCTTTCTTTTACTAAATATTATAATATTATGAACAACCTGCAACTTTAAGAAAAATAAAATTTCAACACAATCTTTAACATGAACTTGTTTGTAAACAGAGACGCTGGAGATGCTGCTGTGCTCAGCACTGCAGAAAATTACTGATATTTTAATAGAAAATATAATTAAAATATTTTTGTAGAAAATCAGCCAAGGGCCAGATTAAAGGTCTTGGGGGGCCAGATCCATCCCCCGGGTCATATGTTTGACATCCCTGGTTTATATGAATGGATAATGTGCCAAACAAAGAATCCATCCATACATTTGCCACATCCTTTCATTAGCTGCAGGGTTCAACGCCTGAGAAAAAAGTAGTGGCTTCTAGTGCAGAATTTACAGTATACTTTTCAAATTATAGACAATAAATAAAACATATGACACAGTAAGTGTCAGTCTGGGTAAAGCGAGTATTTGCCACTAAATGGCAGAGTGGCTGTTTGTCTCTCAGCAGGTGTCAGATTTTAATATTACAGTTCAGTTACAAAACAACAAATAATCCAAGTGAAATGGACCACAGTCAACCACAGTCAGCCACAGTACACAATGTGACCCAGCAGGTAAAGCCTCTTGACATCATGGCCCCAGTTCTTACATTTACTGAAGTATTTGAATCTACTGTGGACAGGATCATTTGTAATCTCAAGAATTCAAGAGCCAAAAATGTGTTCAAATATTATAAATAAATCTCTTCAAGAAGGTATTTTTCAAAGTCCCTGGAAGGTTAGAGTCATTACGCCAATCTTCAAACAGAGAGACCCCACTTTAATCAATAACTGTAGGTCAATTAATATTTTACCAGTAAACTAAAAAATGGGTCACAGAGCTACTTACTGAGCATCTAAATACAAGCCCTTACAATCGAAACCCAATGCAGTTTGGCTTTCGCAAATACCATTCCACAGAAACTGCTTTATGTTACCTTGTCGAAAACATCCAGTAAGACCAGTACTGATGCTGGCGGTGTTGTTGTTGGTGCAGTGTTTGTTTAACAAAGACATTTGACACTGTGAACCATCACACGCTACTACAAAAACTCACTTATTTCATTCAAACATAACTTTAAACTGGCTCCAATCGTACCTCGTACCAATCTTGGTGTGCCTCAAGGCTCGATACTGGGTCCATTGCTGTTTAGGGTGTACATTAATTTGTCCATCTAATGCCGTCTGATGATGCAGATTTGTATGTTTACTCTAAAAACAAACGGTAAGCTGCACACGACCTGTCAGGTGCACACGACCTGTCAGGTGCTATGTCAGAGCAAACTGGCTACAACATTCACAATCGCATCTTAATATCTCAGTCAGTTGGTTTGTTTTTCTCCAAAAAAATAACAAAAACCTGGCATGGATACAGATGCACACATATTTGTGCTTGGAACAAAACTGAAACTGGTCCATGAGGTGAAGTATCTGGGAGTCACACTGAACCCACAACTGTCGTTCACACAACATGTAAAAAGAACAATGACTAAACTCAAATATAGTTAATCAAATTTTCATCATATAAGAAATAATCTAACAACAAACTCAATTCAATTTGCCACATCTATTTATTGCATCACTAGTTGGACACTGACAAGCGAAACTACTTAAATTAGCTGAAACTATTTATACAAAAGCACTGAAGGTAATAGACAAAAATCCCAATAATTATCACTGTTACAGAATATGTGACAAATAAATATTTCTCAGGTCCCATCCACACTAGTTCGTATTCAAGTTGTTTTCGTTGTGGATGCAGTGTTCGTTCACACTAATCTGATGGAAAACGGCTCCAGAGATGGAACGATCTGGTGCCTCCAACTCCCACGAATTCATCTGAGTACAGATCTGATCCAGCACCGTGTGGACGCCTGAAAACACTGATACTCTAACGTAGGAGCTCTAGTCGCGTCCTTATTGGACCACGTCACTGTGACTTGCTCCTTCCTGATTCG